AAAGAACTCTGTCATTTTTCCTGCTTTCCATTACTCCAATTAAAATTAAGACAGTGTCCTATTATGCAAAGATATGTGTTTACAGAAGAGTACCTAATCTACTGTGTTGCACTGTATCACAGTACAAGATTGTCTGTTTTTTATAAGGGATTATACAGGACATGGTACCAAATTGGAATCATACACATGTTTGGTGCTTGCAAAAGTCTCAGAAACCTTTCCTGTGACTTGTGCTCGTGAAGGAAGATGAGTCCCCTAAGATCACACAGATGATGAGTACTGGGGAAGTATCCCAATTACAAGTTCAATGAGCTTTTTACTTTAAAGCCTATCACTCTTTTCAAAGTATAAAATTTGATGCAGTGATATCTGTTTATTGTGATGTTTGTTTTCTCTTAGTCCTTTTAAAAGGGTTCTATCCAATCATTGGTGCTGAAGTAGATATCAAGAATTTTCTTCTTTTTTTTTCCCTCTGGGGGTTTATATTTAAGTTACTCTATTTATGTTTTTAGTTCATTTCGGGTAAAATTTTCTGAGTTGTGTGAGATGGGGAGACATTTTCGTTCTTTGAAGTGCTTTCCAGTTTCCCAGCACATACCAAACAGATTCCCATTTCCACATTGTAGTTTTCTTGGTGACCTTTTGAAGATTATTTGCAAATATTGCTTTCTGGAGTTTTGAATTTGTTGCTCTGGCCTATGTGCCAGCTTTTATACCTTTGTATCATAGTTTAAAATCAGGAATTGTGTGTGATGCCTCCAGCTTAATTCTTCTTTGTTATGATGGCCTGAGTTACTTGGGACACTTTGTGGCTCCAAAGGAAATATAGGATTTTTATTCTACTTCTGTTAAAAATCACATTGCAACATGAATGAATGTGTAGGATTTTATCTAACTGAAGTAGTTCAGAGAGAAAGACAATTACTGTCTGATCATATCTCATAACTCTAGAATCACAGACACAGACTAGAACATTGGCCACCAGGACCTGGGGAGTAGGAAAGTGAGGAGACGGTCAAAGGGCACAACCTCTCAGTGAAGATGAGTAAGTCCAGTGGATCCAGTCATGATACACTGTGCAAACATACAACATGATGGCTGTAGATAACAATATCATATTGAATACTTGTAATATGCTAATACAGATTCTAAACATTCTCATCATAGAAATTATGGCAAAAATATATGAACCTGAAAAACATTATATGGAAGTAGATGACAAAAAATATTAACATTTAGCAAAATTCCAAATGACACTACAACTTGGTTTATATTGCCTCTTTATCGAACTTGAGTTTATTTATTTTCTTACAATGCTCAACTTTTATAAGCTAGTTAATTATTATTATCTCCCTTGGAAGAAAAACATTCTCCATTTGTTAGGTCCATTTTCTTTCCAGGCTTTGGGTCTTTATATATTTTTATGTAAGATTGAAAATGCTTTCTATTTTCAGAGGTTAAGATGATAGGTTGGGAGATCATTAAAAGACTTTCCTAAGCTTGCAGAGCTACCAGGAATTGGGATCACAATTAGAACCTAAACAGCATTTCAGTAATTCAGTTCTTTCTGTGCCAGACTTATCTGCCTTCAGCTGGACTTTCTGGTAAGTTGTGGTTTTCTTGTTTCAGTTGAGCACCAGATCACAAATAGTATCCATACCCCACATCTGTGGGCCAGCTTCTTTGCAGTTTGTGTGCCAGAGAGAGTATGACCAGATGCCTCAGTATCCTGCAAGTTAGCCCAGGATAATTTACATGGTGATAACAGGATCCCAAAAGTGAGAAAGATTACAGAAAACCCTGAGACCTAGACTAGTAATCTTCATGGGTCTGCATACTTCAACCTTTTCATAAAAACAAGTCACCTAACTGAATTCACAATGTGAAATTAAAAAAAAAAAACAACTCTCTAGAAATCATTAAGTAACTCTGGTTTTGACATTATAACACATAGATTATTTGATCTGTGATTAATTCATTTTCTATTCTCAAATGAGAACTTTAATGCTAAATAGAATATGATCTTATTATATTATACAGAGAAGTCAGAAAAATAACTGAAATATTGTATGTTTTAGTGGAGGATTCTCAAGCTTTCATCTGATTTATTTATTCACCATTACCAAGACCTAAAAGATTTTTTTGTACAAATGGAGACAGGAAACACTAATTAACAAATATTTATTTTGAAATGCTTATCTCTCCACTCTTTCCCAAAATTTTGATGATGAAGTTATGCAAATATAAGTTCCCCTATAGAGGGGATATTGAGACTAATGGCCTTATTCCTGTCCTCCTGGATAAGACTGCATTTTGTACAATCTGTCCTAACTCTATCTGGAATTTTTTTTTTTTTTTTTTTTTTTTGATACTAGGATTTGAACCGATGGGTACTTAGTCACTAAGCCACTTTTTATATTTTATTTTGAGACAGGAACTCTCAAAGTTGATTGGGATATTGATAAATTTCTGAAGCTGGCTTTGAACTTGGTATCCTCCTGCCTTAGCCTCCTGAGTCACTGGGATTACAGACGTACTACCATGCCCACCCAATTCTATATAGAAGTTAGAATTCTTCCCTTTCTTCTTTACTGGAATCTGGATCTCAACAGGTGACAGAAGAATGAGTTTCCCTCTTTGATTCTGTGGTTACATTAATTCCTCATTATAGCTTTGGTCTCTATGGGTTTAAAGGCTAAAATCAATGTATCTTCAACAAGTTTTGTGACAACCTGATGCTCCAGACACGCCCAAGGCACCTCCCTCCACCAACCTCACTTAGTCTCTCTCAGGTCCTCTACCTCACCAGGCTCTCTGTGTGAAAGCTCTGATACACTGATTATGCTGTGAGTGGTTTCCACTTGGTCCTCACCTCAAACTTGGAGATCATTTTCTTAAATGTTTATTATTTCTATGACTCACTTAAATATCTACATTTTCAATTATTTCAAAATTATCTGGGAAGATTAGAATAGAAAACTAGAGAATAGACTACCATTAACCTATTTTCAGTCAACCCAAGAAGTGAGGTAATTCACTCTGACCATTTATTGACACATTTTCTGATATTTTATATAAATATGAGCTTAGTTAGCCCTAGATTTATTTGTATGGACAAATGATAACACAGTAGAGAAAGTTCGTGGTGACTATTATGGCTATAACCAAGTGCTTATAGTTTATTGTACAAAAAATTGTAATCTAAGATATTTGTACTTGAGTTTGAGCACCAAAATCATGCATTGGAGAAAAGATAGCCTCTACAACAAATTAGATTGGGAAAACTAAAAATCAATATGTAACAAATTGAAATTAAATCCCCAAATCTCACCCTGCACTAAAGTCAACTGTAAGTGAATCAAAGTTTTAGGTACTAGAACAGACACACTGTGCCTAACAGAAGAGAAAGTTGAGCCAAATCTTCACCTTGTCAGCTTAGGATCTGACTTCCTTACGACTCCTAAACTGCAAGTAAAAGCAAAAATCAATAAATGGGATGGATTCAAACTAAAAACCTTCTTCTCAGCAAAGGAAACAATCATTAATGTGGAGACAAAGCCTATAGAATAGGAGAAAAACTTTTTCATATATATATATGTCACAGCATTAATTTCCAGGATATATAAAGAACTCAAAAAACTTAACACCAAAAAAAACAGTAAATAACCCAATCACAGAATGGGCTACATGAACAGACATCTCACAGAAGAATTATAATAGATCAACATTCCTTTGTTTTAACTTTTTCCTCTGGTTTAAGGCTTGATAGGTAATCAACAGAATACTGGGTCAATGGTCCAAATGGCGACTTTTTTCCAAAACATTTGAAAATCATATACTTAAAAAATGAGTACTGTTTAATGAAATATTTTCATTTTGTTTTTGACTTTTAGAACTTCAGGTTATGAATTTGGAGGATTCATGTTCTCTCAATGCCTTAACATTAAACATTAGTTTGGTCTTCATGTTCAGCATCCACACTATTACAAACTGCCTCAGTTATATGAGAATGTCCTCTGGAAGATACTTGGAAGAAACCGGTCAAGAAAACTAACCTCTTGAATGTTTTTGATGATTAGAGAAATTCATGTGGTTAGAGAACTATAACACTGCCTCAGGAAGGAGAAAACAGGAGTAAAAAAACATATACTTCTGAGAGGGGTACGTCGCTTAACGTTGGGAACACATGCACCCAATTAAGACAATTCTGGGTATAAATACGAGCTGTGATGTTCAGCAGCTCTGTGATCTTGGGCTTGCTCCTCAACTGCTTAGTGTTTCAGGTTCCACAGCTATAACAAGATGATCATAAACCACCTTCTTTATAAGGTTGAGGTAAGAATTAAAATGGATAGATACAGGACTTAATAGTAACTGCCGTGTGTGTGTGTGTGTGTGTGTGTGTGTGTGTGTGTGTGTGTGCGCGTGCGCACGCGCACTCTATTTGTGCCTATGGTAGCAGAGGGGAAAGTTTATTGATATTCATATAAATATCATCATGCTACTTGATACATAAAACCTTTTCATTAATTTATGAAAGAACACTGGAAATTTTTTCATAAAGGCTGTGTACTAAACATAGGACTGAGTGTTTTTGTGTGTATCTTCTTCACACATTCAGACAGCCTGATGAGAATCCAGTAATAATAATTCAAAATTTTTTCATCCCCCTGTTTGATAAGACACTGGCCCTACATTACAGAGTAAAAAAATGGAAGCTCCAACTTCAAAATCAGATTCTGACTCAAATCTAAGTGCTAATTCACAAATTAAATCCTAAAATTCTAGCTAACAAGAAATAAAACTCCACAGGCCTTCTAATACTTAATTGATGCATTGTTTATTTCTCTTAGTGAAATTATCACTAAGTTTTTTTTTTCCCCCTCATTATGATATGCAGGCTTTCCCCATTGTGGACATGGAAATAGGAAATCGCACCATCCTGAATGAATGCATTGTTTATTTCTCTTAGTGAAATTATCACTAAGTTTTTTTTCCCCCCTCATTATGATATGCAGGCTTTCCCCATTGTGGACATGGAAATAGGAAATCGCACCATCCTGAATGAATTCATCTTGTTGGGCATCTCAGCAGATCCCCAGTGGCAGCTGATTCTGTTTGTAATATTTCTGGTGATCTATTTGCTAACCTTGTCAGGGAACATGACTCTTGTTTTCTTAATCAAGATTGATGCCCGGCTGCATACACCTATGTACTATTTGATTGGCAGTCTATCTTTTTTGGATTTCTGGTACACCTCTGTATATACTCCTAAAGTTTTGGCAATCTGTGTCTCAGAAGACAAGCGCATTTCCTTGGCTGGATGTGGGGCTCAGTTTTTCTTCTCCTGCTTGGCAGCCTACACAGAGTGCTATCTCCTGGCAGCCATGTCATATGACCGTCATGCAGCAATTTGTAACCCACTGCTTTATTCAGGCACTATGTCTGCTTCTGTTTGCATTGGCCTTGTTGCTGGATCCTACATAGGAGGCTTTCTGAATGCCATAGCCCACACTGCCAACACCTTCCGCCTGAGTTTCTGTGGTAACAATGTCATCGACCACTTTGTATGTGATGTTCTACCATTGGTAAAAATGTCCTGCACAGACACTCGGGTCTATGTCATAATCCTTTCCAGTATGGTTGGCTTCACTGTCCTCTCCTGCCTTCTGGCCATCCTCATCTCTTACTTCAACATCCTCCTGGCCATCCTGAGGATCCGTTCAGCCTCAGGAAGGCGCAAGGCCTTCTCTACCTGTGCTTCCCACCTGGTCTCTGTCATGCTCTTCTATGGATCTCTGCTCTTTGTATACTCGAGGCCCAGTTCCAGCTACTCCCTGGAGAGAGACAAAGTGGCTGCCCTGTTCTACACCATCATCAACCCATTTCTCAACCCTCTCATCTACAGCATCAGAAACAAAGATGTCAAAGAGGCCTTCAGGAAAGCAATACTGTCTATAGGACCACAAGCTTGAGGTTTATTTTGTGCCATTTTTGCAGTTTGGAAATTATTGTTTTTGTAGACATGTTTGTATGAGTGTCTGCAGTTCAATTAGACTTCATAATTTATACTTGTAAGAATGAAATATTGGTCAAAACACACTTTTATTATCAGGAGTGCTAGTTCTTCCTTTCTCTCTCTTTCTGGCCATAAAGTGAACAGTTCTGCTCCAGCAAATCCTTCTGCCATGATGTTACCACTGGCCGAAAGCAACATTGACAGTCAACCATGGACTAAAATATCCAAACCTTGAGCCAAAATAATTCTTTATTTGTTATTAGTTAATTTTATCAGGAATTTGTTATAGTGATGGAAGCTGACAACCACATTGATAAAGTGGAAGGGATTTCAAGTTCATATAATTACTAATTCTTTTTCAATGTGTGCATACCAAGGTACTGGATATAGATAGATCAGTTTTCCTTGGAGAGAACTGTCCGTTTTCTAGTACATTTTATGGATTTCAGTCTTATGAATATTCACAGGAAAGTGATACGTTTCTAGTTTCCATGTAAAATGATGATAATCCATTCTTGGATATACTCACACAGCACAGCGGGGCACAACTTCACTATGACTTCTCTGAAACCTACTTATATACGTGCACAGATATCCTTGAGGGGTTGGGCACTGAATTTTTAGACCCAGGAGACCAAGGTAAATTAAGTGTATGCCAGCCAGTTAACACCTAATCCTAGCTAAGGTTAAAAATTTGTTTTTCAAACTAAACATAAATTTTAATTCAAAATTATTGAAATTTATATTTTTGTGTTTAGAGATAAACTTCTTTTGTCTGGACCTTTTTCCATCATTTCCCTTTGCATGCATAGATAGTTCCCAAATAATGAAATAAAATGGATATTTAAGCAATATATTAAACAAATATTTGTACCTTTCCACAGGGGAAAAAAAAAGATCTTTTGGACAGTAGGGTTAACCTACAGAATAGCATTTTAACACATGAATGAGTCAAGTAAGAATGAATTATCATATATATCGGTGATACCTTAAAAAATGCAAATTACAACTGAAAAAAACAAACTTTGAATAAGGGTAGAAAATGTAATTTCAAGAAAAGTAGAAATATCTAGGCACAGTAGCACAAGCCTATAATCTTAGAGGCTAAGGAGGCTGAGAAGGGAGGATTATGAGTTCAAAGTCAACCTCAGCAGAAGAAAGATGCTAAGCAACTCACAGAGACCCTGTCTCTGAATATAATACAAAATAGGACTGTGGATGTGGCTCAGAGGTCAAGTGCCCCTGAATTCAATCCCTAGTATACCCCTGCCCCCAAAAAACAATGAAAGAAATAAAAGAAAAATGCAGAGATCGTCTATGTCTAGCTTAAGCCAATGAAGGCCTTCTAGATGTTAAATTATTGTGATCTTTACAGTCAATGTCAAGATATGTTTCTCTCTAAGGCTCATGATTTTTTTCTAAAATGTACATTCTGCTTTATATTTTAAAATTTCAAGGTTTCTCATGCAACTCTTGACCATAGCAGTTGACATCAAATCTATATCTGTATCATGACCATAGCAGTTGACATCAAATCTATATCTGTATCTATACCATTTTCTTTCCCTCATCTGGCCTGATTTAGCTGCTTCTATTGGTTAGGTCCAAATGCTAAAGGCAGAAACCAGTGTTGTGTCTGTAATAGGCCATCACTTTCTGGGAGGATTTGTAAATCATTTGTGTAGGTAGCATCAAGGTGAGATTAAACAACTTCTTGCTCAACCTTGCAAGGCAATGCCTTGCTTTCTAAAATAATTACCTGTTATAGGACTTATTTAGTTTGCCCATTTTTTTCCTACCAACATGTCTAGTTATTGATTTACATAATCCCTTATGCATGATTTGTTAGTGTCCACTGATTTATCCTACTTTTAATCCATTCTCTATGCAACTGTTCTGATAATCCTCCAAACATTTTATCTAATGCAATCACACTTGTCTTTCTTAAATATATTATGGTCCTCTATTGTCTTTATGATTAGAACAGAAATACCTATAGATAAGTTTAATATGAGATGCCGTACTAATTGAAACTATCATAGGGAATATGAAGAGAATTTCAAGTGTGTTCCCATAACTATACATTTACACTCAGTGTCAAGAGTCTCCTGGGATGGCACTTGACTTGGGGGAAAAGGGAATTTAATTATGTAGACTTTCCACAAGAGCACGGATGCAGAGGAGTTTTCTAGAATGTTTAAGTCATTAAGGATGCTTTGAATTGGAATCTTCAAGGATTTATATCCAAGTATGGAAAGAAAGGGATGAAAAATATTGTGACAGACAAAATGTTTCTTTGACTTTCTGTGCACTCTGTAAGTCTCCTGTGCATGGTGACTTAGATAGTTTCACCGTCAATACAGGATTAAAGCCCACCTCCTACCTCCAGTTATCTAGTGTTCATCTACCCAAGCAAGCTTAGAATGGAGGAAAACTAATATAAAGGAAGAGCCCCACAGAGCACTCCAGGATTGCTAAGGACCACACATAAAAAGAGGAAACTTGGAGATGCTCGGAGAAAGCATGTGAGGAACCAGGGACAGAAGACACTTCTGGGAAAGACAGAAACAAGGTCCAAGGATTGTCATCTTGACTATTCTTTGCTTATGAGTGATTCCTCCATAATGGGACAGACCCAATGAAAACAGTCTGGAGAAATGAAAGCTGGGTTATTTCTACTTCTGTCAGTACAAACTGACTCAGAGAAAGAGCACATTTTGTTGTTGTTTCATTGTGATTGTATTTTAAATGACCCACCCATCACCCCTATCTCAGACCAATGTGGTAATTTGGTTCAAGTTCCTGTGTAGGATCATAAATTACAGCCTTCTTCTCTGGACATTTCTTTAGCTGCTCACCTTTAGAAATGGTGTAGACTCGAAGGACTCTCCACACGTCTAGTTATTGACTTACATATTCCCTTATGCATGATTTATTAGTGTGCTCACTGATTTGTCCTGCTTATACATTCACATTGCAAAGTCTGCACGTCTACGCTTTCTTGTTCATTGCTTTCATACAGTGTTTATGGGAGAAAATTCTTACATATTATTTTACCTGTCATGCTTACTGATGCCACAGGTTTTAAGTAAAGAGTCAGTCTAGAACATTGGGTGATCTCCATACTTATTCTTATGACAAAATGAATTCCTCCCTGCAATGGGGACCAAATAATACCCAGACCCAATGTGATCTTCATAAGGAGCTCTGCAGAATACCTGGAATTCTGGATTTCTTTCACTCTATCCCCATCCTCAACCTTGATCACAGTGATGGTAAATTTGTAAATTCTTTTACAACACAAGCCCAGAGTCACACATTTTATAGGTTTTTATCTCATTCAGGACTTGATGAGGTCAAAGATATAAACACCTTCTAGGAAACTATAGGATCTTTATTAAAAAGGAAAAAATGAGAAAAAAAATGAAAATGTATAGAGGTGGCGTTTCTTTTACATGGAAAATAATTTTAAAATAAGAAAATACACAGCAACCGTTTAAACATAACTAAAGTATTTTATATTTCTATGTTTTATAGAATGGCACTAAACATTAAGAAATTGTTCTTGTAATTCCTTATGGAATTTGAAAATGCTATTCAATTAAGCATAGATTTTCACCTAGTCAAGCTCAGAGGAGTTGATGAAAAATGTGGGTATGGTCACATTTAAAGTTAGGGAAAGTCAAGTTTATAAATGTTACAGATGCATCTGCTATGCTGTTAGAATCTGGAAAGTGGTCATTTAGTAATTCTATAAAGGAGAACCAATCAGGATTCTCCTATGATAGTTGTTTTGGAAAATGGATGTAAAAATTTAGATGACTTTTGACAACTTGATACAATTGTTCATTTTTGTTCATGAGAATAATTCCCTTTATAAAGACACATGAATAGCCAGGAAGACGTACTAAAAGAAATGTTTCTTTCCACTAATAAATTTTTTTAAAAAAAATTCTGAGTATTTTTTATGGGTTTTTCAATAGATAACAAAGAACTTCTGTATTTACAAATGTCAAAACTCTTTCTGTGACTCCTGCCTATAAAATAGTAGCTGGGAGGAATAGACCAACTCTAGATAGGGCAGAGGGGTTGGAGGGAAAGGGAGGGGGCATGGGTTATTAATGATGTTGGAATGTAATGGTCATTATTATTCAAACTACAGGTATAAAGACATGAATTAGTGTGAATATACTTTGTATACAACCGGAGATATGAAAAATTGTGCTCTATATGTGTAATAAGAACTGTAATGCATTCCACTGTCATTCATAAATAAATAAATAGATAGATAAATAAATAAATAGATAGATAAATAAAAAGAATGCCAGGTTTCTCGCCCAATGAGAATAAAGAAAATTTAACTGAAGGAAAAAAAAAAAAGATAGTATCTTCTTGGAGAGCAGAAATCTGGAGACACAGCAGAAGTGTTAGGACTTCTGTTCTCCCTGAGATTCTGAATTGCTGATGGCTGTTTACCCTACAGATGGCTGTTTACCCTACAGTGTGCCAGGAGCCCTGTTCCTGTGTGCAGAGGCCACAGTCCTAGATATTTGCATATGTGAGCCCTCATTGTCTCCTCAGTTGCAGGCTCTGTTAATGTCCTTCTGTTAGTAAGACTTTCTCAAGAGTTCAGTGAGGAGTGACTTAATTAGTGAAATGACTTATGACCTCTTTACTACTTTCAATTTCAAGATGTCAAAATTGGCATAAAATCAGAAACAGAATCAAACAGAGAATCAAATACAAAAATCAAATACAGAATCAAATAAATGTGCCATTTAACTCATAGGCCAAATATGTGTTGAAGCACAAATGTGGACAATACAGTTATGTGCTAATCACAAGGGATTCAGAAAAGAAGGAAATAGTTCTCACACTTTGGTGCCTAAGGTCCAGGTTGTGAGGACTGTCAGAGCTAGGCGATTTCTTAGTGGTGAGCTTATCTGGTATAACCAAGACCTTGAAGAGTGTTCATGGCAGACCTTGCCATGCCTTTGTCCATCTAAGATGTTCTAAAATACAATCCTCTCAATGGTTTCCCTACATTTTAGGGCAGGAGTTCTTGATTTGGGTGCAACTTGCCACTAAGTAGAGCAGGTGGATTTCAGGATCCCAAGATTCCTCTTGAGAATGTGCCTAGGAAATGTTGTTTGTGTCTATCTTTTGAAAAGAGCCTGTTAGAATTCTTATTAAGGTCCTTGTTTCAGACTTGTTGCTCTACAGGCTTTAGATTTGCAATGCTCAAAAATGAAAGACTTCTAGAATTAGATATTAACATTTTCTGAAAAAGCTTTTATCAGAGAAATTTGGGGGACAAGGATGGAGTGAGTGAAATTACCTTTGGCGTGGCTTATATCTTAGGCTCTGGATTGACTCTTAAAAATAGTCGTCAGTCAAATATTAACCATTAATTTTTTTTTCAGTTTTATCATTTTGAACCTAATCAGAAGAGGAAAATTTGAGGGAAAACAGCATGTAACATTGTCAAGAGGAGTAAAGAAGTAAGGATGTGTTGATACTCCTTGTGCACATTGTGGGGAAAAATAAGAGGAGACATCCTAAATGAAGAATCATCCGTTTTCATATGATAGTTCTCAAACTCTCTGAATCACAGCATTAACAGAAGCAAATTTTTGCAAAGCAATTGTACATCCCTTTACTAAATAAAATACAATTTGAAAACACCCAACATTTATCTGTACAGTCTAGAGCTTATGCTTCACTGAATGGTACAGACAGGACAGGTGCTCACCAATCCCCTCTGCTCTATCTGGGCACAAGCAAAGCGATATTGCAGACAATTTTATGGTTAAATCAAGATTATGTAATTATATTCTGTCCAATGGGATACACCAAAAAAACCAACAATCAAACAGGCATCGCAACTGTTAAAAATCAAAAACAAACAAAATGTGATCCTTGTATTCAGAGAATTAATTCAGTGTTTGAAAAATATAACTTCAATGAAAATATAGTAAAATTTGCCTCTCAGGTAAATGTACAGGGAAAATCTTTTGTACTTTCAAATTAATATTTCTGTGCATATTAAACTCCTCTAAAATGATTTAAGTCTTTTTTTTTTAAAAAAAAAAAGGAGTTTAGTAGTCTCATGAAGGGAAAACTGAATTTGAAGGGGGTTGGATATAAAAGGAAGATTGAAGGGCTTTATTATTAGCCTTTATAATTCTTCAGTGCTCTTTGTTTATGTAACACTGATTTTTTGTTTTTGTTCTTTTTTTTTTAGTAACAATGTTTTTTATTAGGAACTAGCTTGAAATTATGTGTTATTTATGTAGTACAAATAAAAAAGCATAAAATTGTTTTTATCAGTATTAGATTTAAGCAATATCATTGTCCTAAGAATAATACACTTAAAACCTCTGCCTTTTTTTTTTTTAATTTTGTATCCCTAAACTGATAGCCAGAGAATGCATTCCAATTTCAATGTAGCAAGGAAAAATCTCTCTTGGTTAATTCTTATCATCTTCTGAGTAAAAGCAATATAGCAGATTCAGTGTATCCATCCTGGGCTAGACAAGAAGCCCATACATAGTGTAATTTAAAAGCCGATTATGGTATAAAATTTACATGTATCTGTGAGTGTAAGTTCCCCTGTCTGGCTTTACACCATAGTCCTAAGAAGGCTGAGTCAGTGCCTGCTCTACTTCCCCAGTGTATACATCTCTGCTCTGGCAGAGGCTCCAATACAGCAAGTAGTAAAGGAACACTTGATAGGTTATTTTGAGTTAGTTAATTAATTAATCAATATGCAGATACATAATTATCTCCAAGGTGCTTTTTAATCAGGAAAGCAAAGCACAAAGCATAGTGAACAAGATCTTCCTAGGCCCATATGTGCGTATAACAGATATACTCAAAGGTATCATTGCAAATATATAGGAGGAAAAGAAGGAACTGTTAATCATGATCACTGCTAGAGAGAAAAGAGGAGGTATGAACTGGGAGGATTGGTTGGTTTCCAGTGTGTTTCCTTGCATATCTTATTGGATCTCAGTGAGTGGCCACTACCAAACCTGAATGAAATTATTCGACTCACCCCTAAACAAGTCTTAGATAAATTAATGAGGCAGGCAATTGTAAAAAAGAATCAATCAGTTGAAATCTCCCCCCAAAATAAAACAAAAAACAAAAACAGAAAGAAATAAAGAGGAAAGAACCTCTCCTCTTCACCCATATAATAGCAAATTATCTGGACTTTATAGACATGGTGGATTCTCCCCAGTCTCCATGTGTTTCTGGATTTGCAGGGCCACATGGAGAGTTGGAATTGCAGCTCCATAATTCATCATTCCTCTTTCGTTTTGTTGTTGTTTTGTTGTTGTTTTTCTGTACCAAGGATTGAATCCAGAGTTGCTTAACCACTGAGCCACATTTCCAGTCCTTTTTAATATTTTATTTAGAGACAGTGTCATGCTGTTCCTTAGGCCTTTGTTAATTTGCTGAGGCTGGTTTTGAACTCATGATCTTCTTGCCTCAGTCACCCAAGCCACAAGGATTACAGACTTACACCACTAAGATGGGTGGAGAACTCACCTTTTCATACACATGAATACACAGATGTACCACTGAGCTTGTTTCTCTGAAGAACCCAGGCAAATACAATTACTGAGTTTCTTATTTTTAATAGAATATTTAAGTCCATGAAATTTTATTTTATAGAGGAACCTTCCTTTAAACATTTCTATTTTTTTCAAATGATTAATTTCATTGACATTGTATACATGCATCAAATATCATAATGTAACTCATAATGATGTACAAATACAATGTCTCAATAAAAATGTAAAATAAATTAAAAAGATAAAATTTTAGTTTATTAAAACCTATACATCTAAAAGACATATCTTGAAAACCATGAGAATATTAAGAATCTAAACTTCTTCTATGATTTGAATAAGCAAATTTCTTCAGTGTTTATACTGCAACTTCAAGTTATTTTGGAAAACCCTTAACAATTCTAAAACATAATTGCAGATGAATCAATTTCATTTATTCAGTAAGAAAGCTTACTACTAACTATATATTGATAAAATCTAAAACATCCTGTAAAATATGAATGCCTTAATGCTACATTTTATCGTTATTTTTTCTATTTTCCTAGGATCATTATTACTCGAACTTTATCTTTTTTATAGGATCTTGAGGATATTGTTTATGCATAATTCTGGAGTCAACATAACTTTTATGATTGAGAAACAAGTTAAAAATACACTTAGGTCAGTCAAGTTTACAGTAACTCTATTGATTCTTCTTTTAAGAAGAACATTGGTTCTTCAAAAGGGATAAAATGGAGGCATGGACAGTGGTTGGAGCAGCCTCTCTGTAGTTAGGTGTTGCTATTTAGGAGATTGGGAAGTCTTGCCAAGATACTTGTCACATATATTGTGCTTTTGGTAGCCAATGTTCCCCCTTGCTTTTCCATATTCACACAATTGGCATAAAATAAGTGATGTTCGGCCACTGAAACCAGCTAACTGGGCCTGTTGATATTCCTTAAAAAGAAGGCAGTTTATAGGAATTTTATTATCATTAGTTAGAAATAAAAGATACCTTTGGGAAAACCAGAGACTGAGCTGGAGTAGCTTTCTAAAACAAGCATCCTGGAATTCCATCGTTAGTCACTGTTTCTGTTGGTTACTGTGAATTACTACCAGCACCCATAGTCTCTCTGGACCTCACATTCCATATGCACGTGCATGACAGGCAGGGTAGAACATTCCTGTCTATCTATGATGAGCACATGTGTTTTCCAGTGCCATTTGACTATTTCATGATTCCTCATAATTTTTTTTTTAATTTAAAAACCAATTCAAACAAGACACATTTGTGGTTTAAAAAATTTAATTTATAGGCGGGGACAGTGGTACACATCTGCAAACCCAGTGTCAGAGGCTAAGGCAAGAAGATAATAAACAAGTTTAAGTCCAGCCTGGGCTACTGAGGACCTAAGCAACTCTGCGAAAGCCTGTCTCCAAATACAAAACAAACAGGGGTGGGAATGTGGCTCAGTCACAAAGTGACTCTGGGTTAAATTCTAGGTATGAAAAATAAATTAAAAAATTTAAAGTAACACATTAATATTATTTTTCTTTGAAAATACAATCTAAGTTAAATGCATTGTTATCATGTGTATCCTATTATTTAATCATTAAGTCTTCATTTTTTTTCTGAAAATTTTTCTCTATTGAATAATGGAGGCTTTTAGACTTCTATTCCTCATATTGTTTTATGTAACATATTTAATTTTTATTATAATAACTGTCTTCTGATGATCAAAATAACACTATGTGTCTTCAGATGTTCACCCATATGTAAGGAAGTGAGGTGGAGAGAGTTCTGATGTGGACCTCAGAAATCATCTATGGAACCTTGACTGCTTTTCCTTATAAGAGACATATTGATGAGAAGGATCACACCTGCTGGGAATAATGTTCACTAAGCTATTTATTAGGTACCTCTGGATCATTGTATTAAAGTTTCTGAGTGAAAGAAAGTACCTCTAAAAATGCTTAAGAATCTATTAAGGAAAAGTAAAGAGATGGATGTCATCTAGTTATCAGGAAAATATGAATTATTCACTCAATATACCTATTCCTCTTAGAAAGATATAACTGTATAGATAAGATTCTAACCAGGGAATGAATAGGAGCAAATTATAATTATGCTTACTTAATTATGTCAAAATGAAACCAAATACTATGTATAACATAATATAATAAATAATAAATAACAAAGAATAATAAAACATTTTGCAGGTCCTAAAGGTATCTTAAGAAAAGTAAGGTCAAGTGTTACATTTTCAAGTTAGAGGAGAACTTTTTTGGCTTAGGTTCTTTGTGTTTAAAATATAGTAGCATGAAATTCAATCCAAATACTTACATTTCATGGTTAATTTCATGTCCTGTATTACCATATCTCATATTGGATATTTGACCTACCATATGCCAAGGGTGAAAATCCCATTATTTGCATTGTATTATATCATAAGGGAGCACAAGGGCAGCTCTGCTTGATATACAAATAACTTTATCATCAGTTGAATCTGCTCCTTCATCACAAAGAAAGTCATGATCGTTTGAGCAGTTTATTCAGAGCCTCTTTCACATCCTTATTCCTCAGGCTATAGATCAGGGGGTTCAACATGGGAAACACCACAGTGTAAAAGGTAGAGACAATTTTGTCTGTGTCAAAGGTGTAGCTAGTTTGGGGGCGAGAGTAGATGTAGAGGATGGAGCCATAGTACAGGGTGACAGAGACCAGGTGGGAGGAGCAGGTGGAGAAGGCCTTGAGGCGGCCCTGGGTGGAGCGGATCCTCAAGATGGTGGCAATGATGAAGAGGTAGGAGGCCAGGATGAGTGCTATGGGGGTGATGACATTGGAGCTCAGGAGAAAGTACATCAGAGCTTGGTAGCCTTCCTTCCTGCCACAGGCCAGCTTCACCAGGGGAAGCAAGTCACAGAAAAAGTCATCAATAATGTTTTCTTTGCAAAAGTCAAAAGAAAATGTTTTCTTGGTGATGACAGAAGAGTTAATAAAGCCACCAAGGTATGAGGCTACTACCAAAAATACACATAGTTTTATCGGCATGGCCTGAGAATAAAGCAGTGGCTTTGAGATGGCCACATAGCGGTCATAAGCCATGGCAGCCAGCAGGTAACACTCGGTATAGTCCAGTCCAGCAGAGAAGAAGAACTGAGCCAGGCAGCCAGCAAAGGAGATGCTCTTATCATCAGAGATGCAAGTCATTAGGATCTTTGGAATGTAGACACAGGACAACCAGAGATCCAGAAAAGACAAATTTCCAATGAAAAAATACATGGGTGTGTGGAGCCTGGAGTCATTACAGATGAGCACTATGAGGGAGGTGTTTCCTGCCACAGTCAAAACGTACATGATAAGGAACACCACAAAGAGGACCAGCTGCATCACGGGGTCTCGTGTGAAGCCCAGCAGGATGAACTCTGTCACTGTGTGATTTCCCCTCTGCATGGCTTAGAATGTTTCACATTAGAAGAGTGAAAGTGAGAGCCCCACCTGAATCATATTGCTAAAAAAAAATGATGCAACAAATGAGCTAAACATGTAACAGTACGTTTCTGGTAATTCAAGTCTAGGAAGCAATAATCTAAGTGCCTGTTTAGAAATCGTTTATATTTTGTAGCTAGTTAAACCAAAATTCTAGTGATAGGATGTTTGTTTGTACTCTGCCCTTTTTCCTGACCCCTAGGAAAACACTCAGTTCATGTTCAACTCTTAATGTTGGTTTTAATAAGTAATAATAAATGGACTTATTTCTGAGAAAAAAATGTAAAACAATATAAGGTTGCTCCACTTTGCATTTTGCTACTCTTTTTGCATTACAGACTCAATGACCTCACATGACTAAATCCAGTAATCATGTTTAAGTCATCATCTGATTTGATCAATCTGCACTTTGCCATACTGCTGGAGAAATGGTCCTTCTCTTGGTGCATTTCTTGGTGTTATTATGAGAGATTTTGAATTTTAGAATTCTTCTAGAACCAATGGTTGGCCCTTCTTATTTTTACCACTGTATTCAGTCCTTGCTGATCTCACCCAGTCCAGTGGTTTTTAATGTCCCTAATATGTGAATGTGTCCGAGTGTCCTATGTCTTTGCCATGTGTCTTTTCCATATTCTCCAGAAATTTTGATTCAAATAACTATTTAGTGTCTGTTACAGTATTTTACTGGGCATCACAGAAAAAAAATATGATTGAAAATTCTTCATAACCTTCCTTCTCTTTCAGTCTCCACCATAGAAAATGGCTTTATTCCAACCCAGGGAAAGTGATTTAGTATCATTGTTGGTTGCGGCTAGCTTTAAATCTCTCTTATTGATTAGAGCATCCTCTGGTATCTACTTTTAAATATGTACAGAACCTGGCCAGCTTTTCACAGTTCCATCCTTTCTACCCCATCACTCCCACGGACATTACTGCAGAAGCCTCCTGGTCATCTCTCTGCTTCTATTCTTACCCCACCTGTGGTCTCTCAACTTGGTGGCCAGAGGTCCCATCAGAATGTGATCTTGTCACTTTTCCATTCTAAACTTCTCCATTTATTCAGAGCAAAAGCAAAAATCCTTGCACAGCCATCTACGTACCGTCCATGTGCTCTGGGCCTCTTCTTTGCTCCCAGGACCCACAGTTCTCCTCGCCACCGCTCACTGCACTGCAGCCATGCTATCCCCACCTCCGTGCCCAGAACAGTCAGGATGTGTTCAGTGCCTTCCTAGAGAGCTCTTCCTGGGTTGGGATGCTTTCCCCGTTGTGTCCTCATAGCTGGAACTCTCACCTCTCAGTCCTTACCTGTCTCTAATAGTACTTTCAAGGATCTCCCAAGTCCATGCACTCCCCTCTCATATCTTTTATCTCTTTCCCACCTGATTCTCACCACTCCACTGCCCATTACCCAATATTCATACATCTCACTAATGTAACTACTTTCCCTCCTCTCCAGTAGAAAATGCTTTCTCCGTTTGCAGTTGAAAGGATATGTTACTTTAATACATATCTCATGTTAAGTTTTATTTTTATTATGATATTACATGGGTGACCTATTTTAATTTTAATACAAAAGAAGAACAATTTCATGGTAACACAAAATATTCAAAATCATTGATCCATGAAAAACGCAAAGGGTTTGCAGTAGAAAAGTTGAAGACTCCGGAATTCAACCTGACTTTTAGCATGCTTTGACTTGAATATGCTTTTAGTCTCATAATCTTAGAAATCTGATCATTTATAAAAATACTAGCCTCCAAATTTTGAACTCTTTACTCTTGGGTCAAGCCTTATCCTTGGTGCTTTACACGTGATATTTCATTTATTCCTCACAGAACACCTCTCTATGTTCAAACATAAATGACAATTATTTTACAGATCATCAGGTTGAGATTTAAGTAAGTAGCCAAAAATTATACAATTACTAAGTGGTGCTTCTTTCTCTGGAGATCTGATACTTCATTAGGAACCCACTCTCTTTCCTTTTGATATCAGCTGAACACTTATGAGTGGGCTCCAGGGTCTCTCTCATGTAGGATTTGACACCTTAACTAAAACCAAGAGTATAAAGCTGAGAGGTTCAGATGTTCACAGGCAAGTTCCTCACACATGTGGTCAATGAAAGTTTCCAGGCTCTGCCCAAATCATCTGCTGGAAGATCTCTGTGCCTTTGTCTTAGCTCTAAGCCTGATTATGAGTCCATAAACATTCTAATTTCCCCACCCTGGACAAGCACACTTACCTGATATTCACAGTCACAACCAACATAGGCCCACACTTCAGATCCAGGTGACTTATTCCTGCTCAGTCTCCCCAGTGTATATGATGTCTCACGCACCTTTGGGGTTCATAGTTTAGAACGTCTCTGAAAAAGCAATTAACTGAAGAGTGAATTGACATTAGCTTGTTCAGAGGAAAAGAAGAAAATGATTTTTTAAATGATGAAGATAATGATGATGATGATGATATTGAAAAATCTGATTTTGGTAAAATCTATACCAAGGAAGTTTTAAATGAATAAAAGCTTCAGTAAATAATCAAGTAACTCTTCTAGTATGTAAAGTAAATCACATTGTAGTCTATCAAATATATACAGAACAATTAATTAGCCTCCCATGAAAATTTAGAAGTATGTGCAAATAGGATTGTGAGCCTAGGGCAATTTAACCACATCATGCATGGTTGTTAGCCAGCAGTGAGGGAAAATCACAAAAGAGTAATCTCTGTATATCTGTCCATTCATGACTACATTGCTTCAGAGGTGAACTTGGCTTATCCTAAGTGTCTGTAAAGGTAGCTTTTTGCAACAATTATTCATCCTCACTTCTAAAAATCATTACTTCCTATTGAGGCATAAAATTGTATCATTAGTTTCTGTAACAGTTGTTGGCATATGTGGTGATTTTAACCAAGGTATCACTTGCTAAAAGTAACTTGTCAACTTTCTCCATTATTTAGCATAATAATATTTGTTGAGCATATACTATAAATGCCAGGTAGTCTGCTGAATGCTTTAAAACAATCATCTCATTTTAACAGTCATAACCTTGTGAAGTAAAATTGGTGACCATTTCTATTTTACAAAAGGTTTCTAAGATACAAGAAGGGTCTATACACACTGTTCTAGTTCACACAGTGTGGACACTGGCAGAGCCATGATTTACAACCATTTCTCCCAGTGCTTCTCATCTGTCCACAGTCGGTGTATCTGTCTAGCACTTATTGTGTTCTAGATTCTTTGTCAGGCACTAAGATCAAGAGGTATGAGGCCTGGGGCCTGACTGCAGGAAGGCTGTAGTTTAATACAAGAATCAAAGATTTTTAAATAAATAAATCAATAGGCTGTGATAAAATTTTCATTCCTGATTATGGGAGGCTGGTCAGGATATAGACTCTGCCTCACACGTCCTATAGAATATTCTCCACTCTCTAGGAAGGAATTTTGTGTGATGGGAAGAATGAATAAAAAGAAAGAAGTTTGCTGTGCTTGAAGAATAAGAAAACAGTTACCAGGAGGTAGGAAGATATTCCTTCTGAAGGAAAATAAGCTACTCCCACAAAGCCACAGAAGAAAGAAAGAGAAGGGGTGTAGGAAATGTCATGTTTGGCGGATTGTCTGTAGAAGACAACACTCTTATGGGAACAGTATGAATGATGTGAGAGGAGATAGCAGAGGCTTTCTAATGTCATAGTCAGAGCTATTCTGGGTGATACTGGCTTAACCTGAACCAATAGTCAAACACTTGGAACTCCAGGGTCTGTGGCCAAAGGATTGCTGGTGTTAGGGAAATAACCATCACTTCCAAGTGAAGACTTATGCTGCAGGCCTGTGTGATGAGTGCAGCTTGTCACACGCCCCTGTTGCTATATCACAAACGCAAGGAACCTGAGACCTCCTGGAGAAGGAAATGACCCTCATCACAAAACAATCAGTGGGTGGAGCTGAGGCTAAAACTGAGTGCTTCTAACCCTGCACTGGATTCTTTCTCCCACACCAATGCCTCCTTAGCCACCTCCTGCCGTGACGTGAATCCTCCTTTGTAGGAGGGTTTTTGTGTCTTCGGTCATATCTCCTCCGTGGAAAATGCTGAAATCCACAACACAAATACAGCCAAACATGATAGTGCACATTTTTTCATGATGTTTCTCTTGAGCTTTAAACATGAACTCTAGGTTCCAAGTTAAAATTGTGCTTTAAGAAAGGAGTTCTCTTCTAGTTGACCTTACCCACTGCTACCTGACACCTCTGGCAAGCCCCTGTGTCCATCTGTCCTCTGGAGGAAAATAAACTAAAATCACTTAAACTTTTCACAGTTTATTTTGAGCATGAGCGTTAGAAAATGTGGGGCTTTTGATATGCTCATAAAAGTTTATTTCTCTAGTAAATGCTTCTCTTTGACTGTTTTTCAGTTTTGTCAGTTGTATAATTTTATTTCCTGTCCTTATCTTTCACTTAAATGGCTCTCCTTCAATGATATAAAAGCTTCGTCTCCACTTTTACTTTTAGTAGTTTCAGAAACTCACATAGAGAGATGGCTAATGAAAATGAGGTGGGATTTTTTGTTGGTGGTGGTTTTTTTCGTTGTTATTCTTTGTTTTTTTTTTTTTTTTTAGCTCATGTCCTATAACAGAATGTAAAAGAACACTGAATTACTGTAAGACTGAAAAGCAAATCTTCTCTGTCATTAATTATATCCAAATCATGCAACTTACCAAAATTTCAACAGGAACTTATTCTAACATTCCAATGTCCAAGTCAGCTATTTCCAAAATTATTTACAAAAATTATTAGATCCCCAGTGCTTTATATGCATGGAATTCCTCATGGCTTTGTAGCCTGGGGAAATAGTACATGAAGCAATTTTAAAAATTGCTTAGAAAAAAAAATATACTTAGAAAAAAATTAGTTCAACCTCAATTTATAAGACTCAGGTTAGGTTTAGAGATTGTAATCCCCAGTGATG